ACCTTGCTGGTTTTTTGAACTGTTTCTTAAGTAGTAATTCTCAATGTTTCTTGAGGCCCTGTGTTGATTTTCCACATTTCCTTGTGTATGAAGACATGAATCACCAAGGAACTATTGTTTTTGTGCTATCTCTCATGAAATTTCCAGATTATTTTCTCTTGCCTCCAGCAGCTATGGAAGCTATTGGTACCCAGTGGGTTAATGGTCCATTCACTCGCTGGGCCTGTTGCCCCAAAAAAAGGCTAGATATTGTGAATGAGAGAGTTGGGAGTAACCAAGGGGCAAACATCTGGCTGCTCTGCAAACATGCTACTCCTGAGCAAATAATACAGAGCAAATAACTGATTAAATTCATTTGGATTTTATTCTACTTGCTTTCATCTATAAGCTGTTTGCAAAAATTTACGATTTTCTCAAAAAAAACCAAAGAAGTGCCATTAATTTCCAGACAGCATGAAGGTCAGGAGGTCCTTTCAGTCAGTGTGGTGGCAACATTGCCCTCCAACATAGCTTCCCCCAGGAGAGAGAGTCTCCAAGGGAAAGCATGTTGCTCCTGTTCTGGCTTAATCCTCATTGCCAGCACCATGGAAAGCAAGGATTATCCAGATGAGGGTGAGCTTTATCTGAGGAAGCTACAGGTACAAACATGACAACCAAGAGAAATGTTTCATCTGGTAGGTATTTATTGATAGTAAGAAATAAAATCTGTCACTTTAAAAGCACACTGACTGCCTCCTGATAGTGCTGCACTTGCTTGATCACCCATTTGATATCCAGCCTTTTGCCCTTGTTTGCACCTGAGAATAGTCAGGAGGGATTGGACTACCAGGACAGGTACCCGAATGGACTTGCAAGGCACACTGCATGTGAGCAAAGATGTCACTGTCTGACTACACTAGACAGCATGCTTAGCTGAAGAGTGTAAGAGACTCCTTTTATTTAGGAACAGTCTTAGGAGATTGTCCAAAGGTATCTCCAGGGGGACTCTCCACAGGGTGTCTTCATTTCTGTGAAGATACACTTTCCCTAGTAGCTGCTTCTGAGAAAGTTTTGCTGTGGTGGAAGGCCTTTACGTGCAATGGTCTGTAAGCAAATTGGTCTTGGCACAAACGTAAATGCATGTGACAAAAGCAATTGAGTTATCTGCCCTTACAAATGTAGCTCATGATGATAGTTATGACAATGTAAAATTGTGATTTTTCACAAAGTGGTTCTCTGTACGAAAAGCAGTGAGCACAGAAGTCTTCTCATTGCTTTAAGCTGGCTTTACTGTTAGTAAATACATTGTTTTGGCATTTAAGAGCTACAGGCTCAACAACAGGTTCAATGCTGTGAGTATTGTTTGCTCAACTGAATAAGGCACAGTAGGAAGAAGCTAATTTATTAAAAGAGAATAATCGTACATCTTAAAAAAAGGAGGAATTTCCTTTTTTTTTTTTTTTTTTGCAACCTAAACCTACTCAGTGCATGCATATCTTTCTTTGTGTGGCTTTAAGAAAAACGTATTTACGATGTCAGACACTGCAATCCGTCACTATAAAAGCTACTCTGGCGACTTCACTTCAGCAAGATTTTTTAATTCTGATAGAAATGTGAAATAAAGTTGCCAATACTAAGTCCAGGGCCTAAGCAAGAGCCCTGTGATGAGCTGTAGCGGCGAGTGCAGCAGTGCCTAATGAAGAGCCTCGAGCCCTGATTCAGAGCCAACCAGAGCCGATGCACTCGGTCTCATCAGCTGCAGTGGACTTCACAGCAGAGCTCACATTTGGTAGAGCAAGGTTCAGAGTATGTCCTGCCCGAGAGTTGACACATTTTGACATGGCAATAAGCAAAAGGAACCGTAACATATATTATTTGCTCTGTACGTCGCAAGGCCTTATGCTGACAAGGGTGACAGCCTCCCCCTGGCATTTGAGCCGCCCGGCCTCGCACTCTGTCATGGTCCGGCGGGCAGCAGAGCCGCTCACTTCAGCGCAGACCTCGATGCCTCCCTCCTCACATGGCCCATCTTCATCACAAACACAGCTGTTGGATTGCGCTAAGCAAAAGCACAGAGAAATAACATTCAGGATGGCATCCGACTCTACAAAAAACAGACTAAAATGTTTTTAGCAAAATTGTAGAATTGACAGTAATGTTCTTGAGGGCACTCAGCACAGGACAAACATGGATGTGTGGGAGCAGGTCCAGAGGAGGCCACAAAAATGACCTGAGGGCTGGAGCACCTCTGCTGTGAGGAAAGGCTGAGAGAGTTGGGGCTGTTCAGCCTGGGGAATAGAGGGCTCCAGGGAGACATTATTGTGGCCTTTTGGTACTTAAAGGGGGCTTGTAAGGAAGACCGGGACAGGCTTTTGATTAAGGCCTGTAGGGACAGGGAAAGTGGCAATGGCTTTAAACTAAACAAGGGTAGACTCAGACTAGATATAAGAAAGAAGTTTTTTACAGCGAGGGTGATGAGGCACTGGCACAGGTTGCCCAGAGAGGCAATGGAGGCCCCATCCCTGGAAACATTCCAGGTCAGGTTGGACGGGGCTCTGAGCAACCTGATCCACTTGAAGACATCCCTGCCCATTGCAGGGGGGGTGGCCTAGAAGACCTTGAAAGGTCCCTTCCAACCCAAACTATTCTATGATCCTTTTCCTACGTAAAAGTAACATTAGCTGATGTTCAGATTCAGTGGAAAAACTAGAAGTGGAAAATAAGTGGTGCACTGTTGGGGCTTCCTCTGCTCGGACAGGCTGATTGTGCTTGTGGCAAAAGCTTGCTCTAGGTGCCTGATATATTGTTCTCAGAGACTTATCTGATGTTACAGCTTGAACTGGTTTCTGTACCTACTGCTCCAGAGTCCAGATAATGTGTAAGATCGAGATTTGTCCCTGGATAGTAAAAAACTGATTGTGCAGACACTTCCAACTGCTACCTTTACTTATGTACAGGCTGTTTCACTAAGATCAAAGGATCTACTCCTACAAATAAATGTGTGTAGTTGTATCAGTGACAACAGCTAAATAATCAGATAACAAGAACGTCCCATCTGAGATATATATTTCATAACTGTGTCTTTGTTTTGGTGTTGTACGTTTATTTTTTTTTGCCTGTGTTTGTCTCTACTGAAGCTCCAGCCAGTTTTGATTATCATTTTTTGTTATTATTTTTGTCTGTTCAACCCTGTCAGACAAAACAGATGAGCTCCTATCAAGTAATCTTTTTTATTTTCAAAATATGACAATAGCTGTGCCTCTATCTGAGGCACTTCTAAAACCCAATTTACTTCTTTATCTCCCCATTTCTGGCAACCCTCCATTAAATGCAGTGTAGTGTAGGACACTGAGGGAAATTAGATCAGGGAATCTGAAAACATCCACTGGAGACAGATTGCGAAAGTCTGGGACTGTTTTCTCTAAGGGAAGAGATATTCACCTTTGACTGTAATACGAGAAACTGGGGACAGGCAGTGAAATTCAAACAAAAGTAAGTGATTTTCCTAGATGGTACAGAATAAGACATTCAGTGTCTTGCCACAAGATACCACCAGGGAGACTGCTCAGCAAATTTCAGGAAAGGATTAGCTATTCCTGTGGGCAGTAAGGACTACCACAATTACCGTGTTAAGAAATTTAAAACTGGTGGATAAAATGACAAGAGTAGGTCAAGGGTTTCACCCCACAGTGAACAGGGTAACTCACTTCATAGCGACTAGGAATAAGCTTTTCCTGTAGATGGTGCATTTTGTTACGATATCCTGCAGGGATTTCTCTTCCATGGTTGGAGCTTCCTGCCATGTTTGGACACCAAACACTGGGCTGATGGTTTGAACCAGCTTAGCAGTGCCTGGTGCTTCTGGAAGGGTCTGGAGATACCACACCAGGACAGACCTACAGCTAATGTGTAACTGGGGATAAAGATTTCATTTTGGTCATACAAACAACTTTGCTTATAATTGCAAAGAATCTCTTACCATCACATTTCTCCCACAGACGGCATGATCCACATGATATTTCAGCTGCCTGAGGTATTTTGCAGTTTTCTGAATCAGTAAGAGAATATTTTCTGCCCATGCACTCCAAGGCATGCATCTTGCAAACAGTTAAAGGTGTGTTTCTCTTGGTCCTTTGATCTGTAGCACAAGTGTCCAGGGAAGGACTGAAAACAAAAGCAGGGATCATGCTATTTAAAAATGTTTTATCTTGATACCTCTTAAAAAAAGCTGAAGGTGTGGAAAAATTTCAGGGTCCAGTTCCAACTTCCCTGTTTCTTGAAGTACATCCTACAAGTGCAGCAAGGAAACTTGGGACATAGACATGTGAATAATTCAGACTCCTTCCTTTTTCACAGGATGCTGCACCTCAGCAGAGCCAGGATCTGTCCCCTCTGAAGGACAGGGATATTATTGGGTATTTGCCATTGACCTCAGCAGCACTGAGAGCAAGACTTTAGCTGACCAGAGTTCAGACCTCAATTATTCTCTAATGTATTACACATGCATGCACCTTCCTGAAGGGGTAGGTAACAGTTCCTGTGAAAGTGGCTTGTCAGAGTAGGGAAGAGGAATTTGGAAGAGGGAAGATCTAGTAAGAAAGTCCTGACTCAAACCTTGCTCACTTGCTGGTCAAGTGTTAAGGCAATTTTTCTTTTTTTTTTTCCTAAGAACTAGGAGGCGGTTTTTGGTAGATCTATAATACAGCACCAAGTAAAAGTGCCTGCTCCAGATTTTGGGAATGGTTCTCTGAGAGATGGTTTTGAAGCCTCTTAAAAGAGCTGGCTTTACAGAAAGATTAAACTACCTGTAACACTGTGCATCTTTAAGATATTTAAAATTTGGCACAGAGTTCATTAGCTGAGACTGAAAATTTTGCTGCATCTACCTGCAACCAAGTGTGTCTTCAAAGATCATTAATTGTATTACATCTCCTGCTTAAGTTAGCATCCTCAGCTGGAATGAGTCCCTTAACTGCTGTGCTTAGTTAAAATACCAGCCACTAAATCGTTAATAAATTTTGTTGCCTGAATTTTCCTTAATGCTTTTTTATTAACATAAAGAATGAGGTTAACCCTCTTATTCTGAGGCACAACAAGAAGACAGCCCACAGGACATGCAGCATCAAGACCTGATAAAGGAAGCTGGTGCATTTGTCTGTATTATATTGTTTGCTCATCTGGCTGCACAGCCTATGATTTAGTGGTGTACTGATTTATAACGTGAAAGTTAGCTGTACAGAGAATGATACAAGAAAAACTACACCTTTAAATATCATCTTAAATTTGGAAGAACAAAGTGTGATCCAGTGAAAGCATCTAATTTATGACTAAGTTGTTTATTATGCTTAACATTGTTGAGAGGCCTTTTTTATTTGCCTGAGTGATACATCTCAGTACCTGAGTCCGAAGGTCAAAATCTTGCATACAAGGCAGCTCAATGTAGCTGAAAAGATTAAGGCAGACACAAGTGCACTAATGTGTCTGCTTTGCACCACTTTAGCAACATCCAAAAGAATGGAGGGAGGCTGATTTAACCAGCTGCCAAAGGCTGAACCCAGGGAGTTCATGGTGCATGTTGCCAATCTCTCATTACAGTATACTTTAAACTGCCTTGAGAGAGCTTTACATATTTGCTATAGCTGGGTCAGCTGGGAGAAAACCAGTGGAAATAAACATGTTCAGATGCATAAGAAAAAGGATGGAGAATCTGTACTAAGAGAAATTAATAATTTGCACTCATTGCTGAGAAAAGAATCACAGGGCTGGGAGCATCACAGAAGTGCAATAAAAATTATTAGAGGCAAGGAAGAATCCTTGTGTAAAGTGAATGTGAGAAATTCAATACCTTTTACCTGAAAAAGAAGGCTTGAATAAGAACAAGCTTTTGCTAAATCACATACTGTGCGAAATGAAATAGCACATGTAATTTACCAAATACCTTCTCTCCCTTTCACCTACAAAAGATGCAGGCAACTTTTGGTGAAAATAAAAAGTGAAAAATTCAGCATACTGGAAATTATTTTAACTTCTTAAGATTATATTCAAGACCTTAAGTTTTAGTATAACACAGGCCAGGAACTCTTAAGAGAGACATAGTTGCTACACAAATAAACTTGGAGGAAAAAAGAGAGGACAGTATTTAAAAATTATTAAATCTCATATTTCACTGTGGAGATAGTCTTTAGCTGCTGGAGACTGAGATTTCATCTGTATTAACACACTAACTGTGCTCTGACCCCTTCCTTGCACTAGGGCCAAATCACACAGAATAGCTGGTGTCCATACTATTAAACTCTCTTTGCCCCCAAAAAGATGGTGACTGCATCAGACTGGAATGGTCCCTAACCTTAGTAACTCCTGCGCTGTGCCTGGGAATTATCCAGGAGTTGGCCCTTGCCAAAGCTCTGCCAGGAGCTGCTTTAGCCATTTAGCAGCTTTGGTGCCCAGGATCTTTCCCTTGCTCTAACTGATGAAGATAGATGTAGCCTAATGGACCATATCATGCGGGACAAATTGCCCCTCACCAGCCTCTTGTGGGGTTCTTGTGTTGTCCTGGGAAGTGTCAGTTGCTAGTCCTTTGGAAACTGGAAGGATACAGGATAGGTCTGAAACCATCGTGTTCCTGAAATCCCATGTGAACTCTTGTTCCCAGCTCTCTTCTGAGCAGAGGCTGCTCCTGAAAGTCACTGTCACAGCAAAGCAAGCCAAGTTACTTCTGGTCTCTGAGGAAGTACCAAGATCTACTTACATGCCTTACTCCTACTGCCTTAACAGGCTGGTAGATTGGTTTGCTTTGACAGCTGATGATTTATCCTTCTATTATTAGATGTCTTATTTCAAGACAGAGTGAAAAGATGGCATCAGGTAACAGAAATGACTGCTATCTATCTTCCTTCCGTTTTGAACATATTTATAAAAAATAGAAAAAAGCAAGCAGTAGATTAATTATAACTGAAGCCTGAATGCATAACTGAATGTAATTCATTAAACTTCCAAGGTTATTGTGACTCTGCCCAAGGCCTTCCCTAGCATTGTGGACTCCCCTGATCTTCTTTGTAATTGACCTCAACACACCCATGAACCAGAGGAGGGGCTGTTGCCTCACTTTAATGAGTACTGAGACTAAAAGAGTAGGACCAGGTCATTTAAAATATGTAGATGTTTAAGGATAGGAGAAATCTTAACAGAGTTGCTACAAACCTGGCACTTCTGTTCACATGAAAGACAATGGCCTCAGACTTTAGGGAAGTGCCCAGCAGATCTACAAAACCTGAACTAGGCTGACCAATTTTAATTTCCAGATGTTTGAAGCGTGCTAACTTTGGCTTAGAACCAGTCACCAGTGAGATACTCTTGAACTATGTGGCTGATGGAAGGCATATGTCCTCCAATGAGAAGTTCTGCTACCATGAAATCACTTGAGATGACTTAAAATTTCTTCCTCCTGCTACACAAGGATCAGACAAATTTGGTGTGTTATCATAGAGTTTCCAAACTGCTCAGCTCTTGTTGTGACATAAACCTGGCCAGCTTTCTCATCCAGAGCTCACACCCACTGTGAAGGCTTTATAGGAGACTTCATCCAATCTATGAAAACAAGCCTGGATGTTGGAGTGCTGAGCTCTTTGGCACATCTGGCCATCAGCGACGAGGCGGTCTCAGCTGTCTTCTCGCTAATCCTCTGTTTTGGTTCTGTTACCCCCATGTTTAGCAAAGCACTGAGAGAGTTACTGTTTTCCTTATGTTTCTCCTGCTATGTTTCTCCTGCATTGCTTATTGCAAATTATAGCCTTAGATCAATCAGGAAACAATAAACTCTGGTCTGCAAGTTATGAGGTCAGGAAAGGTGATGTGACTGGTCTGTGCAAACTGCTGTGTAAATGGGAGATTGGATTATTGTGCCTTTCGTAACTCTCGTCTCTCAGTAGGGAAAAGAAATCTGCTTTATTTCACTAGCTTACTGCTTTGATGGTTTATGTCCCAAGGGCCTCTGTTCTAACTTTTCCTCAATCTTCTAAATCTTCAAAATATCACTTTATCTTTTTCCATCTATTTCACAGATCAAGTGGAGCTGAAATTATCGCTTCACCTTCTTTCATCCAACCAAATTCCATCACTGCTAAAACCCACTGACAGGTCTGACAAGGCAGGTAAGCGATGAACAGGACATTGATTGAGCTGTAAAGCAAACAAAGTACATTGCCTCCTTCTCATACGAGTAAAGCTTTCTCATCTGTCATGGGCTGAAGACTTAAGAAATTTAATTGGTTTTGAATAAAATGAGAAAGTCATTGCCAAATTCAGCCTGAACTTACCCACACTCATAGGGCATTTTGCACACACATTGCGACTGATGCACTTTCTCCCATGGCTGACATTTAGGCTCTGTCACTTCTGGTTTCACACTGGGCACTGAAGTAGAAGAACACAGACAGTGCTATTAAGGGTCAGAAAAACAAGGGCTGTTAAAGGTCTGCCTTGAAATTATCCTATCAGTTGACCTTAAAAGCACTGAATTATACAACCAGGACATAAAGCCACATCCTGTACGTTCATTAAAAGTATGGAAGAAATCAACACTATTAAAAAGATACGACACACTTTGCAAAGTTCAGTATTTTATCCATGGGTCATGAGTCAGATGGAAGGAGACAGGTCATTTCTGCAGCAGCTATTTGTTTCTGCTAACCTTGGCAGTGCTGAATCATAGCTTGCAACCGCTTTATCATTAGGTTTCAGAGTTACTGGCTCCACTATTGTCACTACAAAAGCTAAGGCTCCAAATTCTTATGTAGAAATATCAACCTGAGTATCTTTATGTGCTGATGGTAATGAAAATTACAAGTTCCATCCTTAGCCCTCAGTCTGCACTATCTTTAAAAATAAAAGCAATTGTGATTCTTGGGGAATTTTCATGATTGCACATGTACTGTTCTTTGAGTTTGGAGTTGTTTTCCAAGCTCGAAAATTAAATAGGCCTTTGCTAAACATTCCTCTGGAGATTTCTGTAGCAAGTAACGCCAAGCATTTGCTGAATCTGTATGGACATACTTTCTCAAGAAAGCTTTGTCCTGATACATCTTTTACATTATGTGTCTGTATTTTTCTACTTTAACATGAAAATCCCTGAATATTGCTGCCTTTAAAAGAAAACCAAAAATCTCTCTTGTGGATTGAGACTTGCCAAGCAAGTTAGAGAGGCAGAAATTGCCAGAGAAGAAAAAAAATAGAGTTGCAGTGCAAAACAGACAGTAGGCATAACCCTGCCTTCCTGCAGAGGGGAAATTTCCACCAAAAAATCACTGCATTGTCTCCATCCATGGTTATATAGTTGGTTATATAGGTGACTGTTACCGACACTATTGTTGATTAAATACTCTCATCTAAATGTCTGTGTGCCACTGTGTCTGTGTATGCATATCTTCTTAATTCCACCCTTCTTATCTCGTATTTTTGTATTTTTAACTGTTATTCTAATTGATATTCTAATCTAATCTAATATTGTAATTCTAATCTAATTGTTGTCCCTTTTTTGTTTTTTAACTTTTGTACTAATGTAATGCTCCCATACAGCCAGGCACAAGTTGTTTCTAAAGATGAAAGCATTTAAAACTGTTATTATTACTGGAATGTGAATATCTGATGTAATAAAAAAACAATGAAAATACTCACTAAAGCTAAGCCTAAGGAGAAATTCGCAATTGTACTTCAGCACTGGTACTTTAGCACTTTCACATCAGTGAGCTCTTTATGTACAGCTATGTGATTCCGTCTGAAATCCTTATGTTTTCTGTGCAAGTGGATATGACACAGTGGCAGACAACTTACACTGGGAATGTCACAGGACCTTAGATCTTAGATTAGAGACCTAATCTCACTTTGACCTTTTGAGGTCTAAGCCTGACTGTCACCTGCCTCTTCCCTGAGGTCAGGCAACCTCAGGCAGCTGTTGGCTGATGAGGACAGACATGAAATGCAGGAGACACGCCTAGTCTTCTACAGCAGTGGCTGTTGTCCCCATGCAAAGGTCTCCTCAGGGATATGAGAACATCTGAGACCTCCAGTGAGGATGTGACTGGCCTGAAGCAGCAAGCTGCTTGGATGTCTGTATGTCACTGACCAGCATTGTAGGAGTGCACAAGAGAAAGCCTTGTCTGCCTTCTACAGCTGGAAAAGATGACTTAGACAGACCTGCTGTACCCTGTACCTGTTTCCCTCTCCATCAGTGCCTGCCAGTACCAAACCGGAGTTTAAAGAGCTGTTACCATGAAACTGAAGCAGCTTGCTTCCAGTTCCTGGAGATTTACTCCATATCAGCTGTGTGACTATCAGATGAGCAAAAGGAGTCATCCACCCCTGTCCTCTCTGCCATGAGAGGCTGTGATGCACTGAACAGTTTCCAGATAGAAAAGCTATACCTCTAAAGTGCAGCTCACACGGTGGTGGTGTTACACAACATGGGTGGAAACTGAAGCATATTTGGGTGGCAGAATAGGCAGCATACATCCCAGGCAATCTCTTAAAATACTGTCAGTGACAATACCTGATAGCAATAGGGGAGTGGGAAGCAAAAAGATGTAAGGAAACCCCTGAAGAAATGTCTTGAGCCATCTTGTTTGAACTGCTCACAGAAAACAAGCTCATGTTTTCTGTGCTTCCTGCTGGTGATACAAATATGGCCTCTCTCACTATACCAGCCATAGCTCTGTCTATACCTTATCTACATCAGCCATAGTCTGTCCAGGAAAGAAACTCCTGCATTGCATTTGGAGGACTGCAATGACTTACCCGGTCTCTTGCACTGGATAGTCTTCATGTCAGGGGACCACTTGAGACTAGGCTCACACAAAATGGAGCTTGCCCCTTCTAAGTGCATGCCGTGTGGACAGGACAGAGTTATTCTCTCACCGATCTCATACACAGGTTTCCATGGCTCTCCTTGCAAACCCCCCTCCAGGACGGGCAGGAGACAAGCAGTTTCTAAGGATTGAAACATTTGAGACAGCCACAGTGAATCAGTGGATTGCAGAAAGCAGTCAAATGTTTTATCTTCTCTTAAATTTCTTATGAAATTGAATGGTAAGATTAGCTGATTTTCCTGTAGAAACATATGAATCATGTTAGCATAGGATATTAACTCATCATGCCAGCCAAGTGTGCAATACCAAGCACAGAGTGAAAAATATCTTCTCCTACTGCCTGCAGGTCCAGCCCTAGCTTGAAGAGGGCTTTTCTGTTCTTAGGAACCATGCTTCTGTTGAAGGTTCATATTAGAGAGTAACGTCTTAGTAGATAGCAGTCACACCTACAGGGTCCGCGGAGACCATGTACTGATACACAAACAGACAAGGTGAACTAGCATTTGTGGGCAGTCAGTCCTGTTTGGAAGGAGGAAAAGATGGCATTGAACTACAGGTCTGAAAATTCCCAGGTCTATCTGATCACACTCAAAGTTGACTCACAAACCAAATGTGCAGGGAAAAAAAGAAACCCTAAGGGTTATTGACTGGGTTAGAGGAAAAGAGTGAAGTGGGGAGATCAGCCAAGATGTAAAGCAATCTTGAAGTTGTGTTCTTATGATAAGGTTGTTATTTGAGAACTTTGTCAATATTCTGCCTACTAGACTTCTTCCTCAGTCTGCTTTCGACATAGACTCACCCCCATAGTTTCCAGATACAGCCACAGGACTGAATTAAGCAACAACGTTTGTTTCCACAGGAAGTAATTCCTGGACTGGAATTTAGTCTCCCTCACTTTCAGCCTTCATAAAACCAGACTTTCTGGGCATGTTTCTATTTCAGTGTTAACAATACCTGGATTGAAAATAAAAGTCAATTTATACCTGATTACGTCTAGGGAAATGGGAAATGCAGGTGTGTATTTTTCCTCCGTTGTTGTTGGCAAGCAGATGTTCAGAGATGTTTCACAGGAATTCAGGAACGGAGTTGTATTTCAAAACAAGAATCAGTTAGACATACCCTGGCAATATCTTTCTCCAACTTGCCACTGTAAATTACTGCCACACTTAGCAACAGGATCACCAACAAGAGAATATCCATGTCTGCAAGCATAAACAACGCTTTTCCCAACAGGGTGTGAGTTTTCAGCATTCTGAAAGAAAGGGAACAGCTGAAATTTTGGATATACAATCTAAGAACCACCAGAGTATTGAACTCCCTTTAATTTGGGATGCAGTAGCTGAGGACAGTGAGAAGTATTAATGTCACTGATGAGAGTGTCTGGAATACCGGGACCAATTCTGATGATCAGTAGTCAGTAAACGGGATCAAAATGACGATGATGATGAAAATAACTTGGTAGAATACAGAACATTCAGGCTATCTTAACTTAGCAATGGGAGGGTTAGAGTTGAAGGTACACTGTGACAGCGGTCTGGCAGTGGTATGTCAGTGATGGAAAAGCACTCTCCTGGCAGTATCTACACTGACTGCAAATGTGGCTGTTCTTAGGCAATAGAGGGGGAACATAAGCTCTTGAAGAGCCTCCAGGGGGATCACTGGAGAGTGTACGGCTTTGCTAATTGCTAGGATGGCATGTTATCAGCTTACTAAAGGTTAGTCCGATAGGGTCACTTAGAAGACCCGGGCTTGAGGACAGAGGTCTTTTCTCATTTTACATCCCACTCCATTCTGAGAATACATTGAGACTACTCCATAAATTGCAGGGTTTTACCTTTAGTTTGTGAACCAAAAATATCGATATGGGAGACAACTATTGATTAATAAAAAAAAAAAATCACTGGCAAAAGAGGGAGCACAAAACTTTGGATCTTGCCTCAGGTTGCAGTTGTGCAGTACAACTCATGAATTTTGAACTAATCATTTTATCTATTTATAGAGCAAAAAGACTCTAGACAGGCTCATAACATAGTGAAGGCATAATCCACTCCTCCAAGGGAGCAATTTAGTCTCCCTTGTTAAATAGGCCAAAGTTGCCATCAGCCATATATCTTGACAGATCATAGTTTCATGAAGGATCAAGGAAGTGCAATGGTAAGTTACAGGGTGTAGAGTGATGATTCCTAAAATCTGTTTACAATTTTGCTATAGACTTAATGAATGACCTTGGACAGTTTACTTTCTGTGCTGTTTTCTGTCTAGTTTCCTGTGCTTTAATATGCAATTCATGTGGCACAGAAAATTTTGAATAGATGTATAGGGTTAAGGACAAGTAGATTACTTTTCTCTGTAGGTAGAGAGTCCAGAAAAGCAAAGCTTTTATTCTGGTTTTGGGATTACGGCTTTTTTGGTTTTCTTTTACTTTAGTAAGAAGTCTTGTCTAATGTCATGCAAACTTCAGTCCGGGAGTAATGCTGAGAGAGCTGCTATGCAGCAGCTCTGATACTAAGGTTCTCAAGAGAAAAATAAATTTGCAAGTGAATATCTGTATTAACTGTAATAGAGACACTGCAGGTAGGAATAGGACAGATAATAGATTACTAGAATAACTTACTTGAACAAATCCATTTTCCAGGAGAGGAGGAGGTGAACAGAATTTTGTAGGAGTTATGGATAAATCAAAACAGTGTGGTTCAATTGAGCTACAAAGCAAACAAATGTACAATTTAGTTTGAATTTAGTTTCCTTTCCTTTCAAAATTCTACACTTCTTAATAAAGCCCATTTTCAAGACTATTATGCATCCCATTTACATCCAAATTATATCTAAATTAGGCACTGCCAGTCTATCTGAGAGGGCGCTACATAGAATGGTGTCAAGTTTACTGGCTTTTACACCATTTTCTATTCTTACCTTGTATCAGATTCACAGCTTCTGAATTTTGTTTTGTTTCATCTTAAATATGAAAGCCCAGTAAGTGATATTCTCACTGAATTCAGTAGCTTCTGCACCCTTCCGAAATAAATTCTTAAATCTATCCAGAGAAGCTGTGGCTGCCCCCTGCCTGGAAGTGTTCAAGGCCAGGTTGGATGGAGCTCTGAGCAACCTGGCCTAGTGGAAGACATCTCTGCTCATGGCAGGGGGGTTGGAATTAGATGATCTTTAAGGTCTCTTCCAACCCTCACCATTCTATGATTCTATCTTCCCATAGTTGTGCTCCAAATGGATTTTTTTTTCTGCTTACCGAAAATGCTGCAACTCTTCATCTTCGCATGGTCTGCTTTCATGCTGCTCTCCTATGCAGGCCTTTCCACCACCATGTGGGGAAGGGTTGTTGCAGGTTCTGCTCCTGGATTTCCTTCCCCCTGAACAAGGACTCCAGGAAGACCAGCAGCTCCAGTGTCCATCAACAACACCTATGTAATATTTGGGAATATTTCACATTAAACCCCTTTGTAGGCTTTTCGTCCTTTAAGAAAAAAAAATACAAACCACCTGTCCTGTTCAAATCTAGTGATGATCCAAACCATGACCTTACAAAGAATTCCAGATTGCAACAATCTAATCTTACCCAAACTCATCTTTTACATAAATATAATTCCATGCAGTCTGTAAATTAGCTATTTTCATATACTTTTAGACTCTGACATCAGATATAAATAATTACAGATTTAAAGAGCAAACATTTTTAAAGTTATTTCTACTCATTTATTTAGTTTATTTATAGAAAGTTACATTTTGAGTGGTTAGTATTGTCCACTCCACAATAATGATAAAAACAGTTCTTTGTTAAGTACTGTTTGGACATGTTAAGCAAAGACTTGGGCTCAGTGTGACCCTCCCCATGCTGTATGTCTGCAGTGATATCTGACCCATGCATACACTCATTCAGGTTGTGCAGTGGGACAAGCAGACCCTAGAAGCAGGAGATCAGACTTTGCCACTTCTAAACTCTCACAAGTTTAAAGAGTGCTGACCTGGCTGATCTTGCACGAGAGTTCCCAGCTCACAAGCTGCTCCAAAGGTGTAAGGCTTGCAGTAACACACGCACTGGGTTCCTTCCACAGCTGCCTCACCATCATTCTGGCAAGGCTGACACTTGCAGGGATCATTTTCAGCCATATACTCTTCAATGGCTTGCTTTAGGTAATGTTTTTTGACTGAGGAGCAGGGCACTTCTTTTACCAGCTCATATAACGGTGTTAACTACACACAGTACAGAAACATTTATATTAACTAGTTATAGTCTGGATATAAGAGTTTATGAGCACATTTTGTCACGTTAAATTATTTGTGATGTATGCTCCTGCACATGGGAGCTGACAGATGTTCTAATTTGCTAGCTAGCTAAAATCTTCTGTTAGTATTTAATGTTAGCCTTTTTCTGGAAAGTCAGGTCTTCTTAACAGCATCCCTTTAAAGCTAGTGGTAGATCAGTCATGTTTAAACATATCTGAGCTATGACATTACAATTGAGACAAAAGTGTAACACAGACCACCAAAGTACAGTAACTCAAATTCTCACCCAGGTATTTCCAGCCTAAAAAACTGGACATTTAAATAACCCATGATGGTATTTCATTGAGAAGTGATTGAAGGTAATAATAAGTGAAAACATTTTGCATTTCTATTGCCTATTTTATGATATTCTCTGCTTTTACATTTAATTTAAAACTTCCTGACAGAAATCTTTTGGGTTTATGTAATTCTTCAGTATGTGGACAGTTCCCAAAAGGACTCAGACAAGGTAGCAGTGAATACAGTCATGACCAATTTAGAAATGTCTGGCTTCTGGAAGCTCGAGTTTTGCCAAACTTATGGATACAGACAGGAGGAGAGATAAAAGGGATACACAGAAGCTGGCCAGTTTAGTGGAAGCCACACAGACCTGACAATATGCATTTCAGGAAAGAGGTTATCTGAAATCCAGTCTTTCTCTACTGCTAGTGTGACCCTCTCTTCCTAAGCAGAACTCCACTAAAGTCACTGAAGATTGTAGGTATCAACCTGCCAAAGGACCTAGATTCATGATGGAGCTGATTGTGTTAGCTGCATGGCATTTTCTTCCCGTGAATTTTTTCTCTTTTATAAAGTGATCTGAAAACAAAATGATTGCAGACTACAGCCTGATTAATCACCTGCTATAGTTAATCATTTCTCCCCTTGAGGTGATCCCATCTGCTCATTCCTGTTTCAGGAAAATAGCCTTACCTTTTGTTTAAATACTCTGGGATAGTCTGTCACTGATCTGGCCCAGAAGGAGTATCTCTGACTGTTCCCAGCAGGATTATTCAGCTCTAGATAACTAAGGCCAGCAACAGCACCTGGGCTTCCTCCTTCTATGTAGGGGTCTCCTTTAATCTTATTACCGCTGCTTCCTGCAGATACCGGGTGGGAAATACAGAAAATACCAGCATTGATATATTTACAAATGGAAATAGAAACAATACATGCAAAAGCTATACTAGCAAGCACTGAAAGGACTCAATAGTGAAAATCAACCACATGTGCCTGGATCAAGACTTCCTACATGGATAACATGTAAGAAGTATCTGGTTTTGCAGGTGTTTTGTCAGCCCTGACTCAGGATGTCCAGAAAAGCACTATTTACTGGGAAAGCATTAGCAATGATTGATGGATGCTGGAGAGCCTTTTAAAAGAGGCACTTGTTGTCTGTGTTCAGTGTGTTAAGATAGAGTTCAACAAAGCTATCAATACCCGCTCCTCGTTTTGACAGATATTTAGGAGGAGATGAAAGCTGGAGACATGGCAACTGTACAAGTCACTGTTGAACATTTACCTGAAGCAGTCTGTAGCAGTTCATCCAGTTTGGAGCACTTTACTTTCTTCTTTTTCACAATGAATGCATTCCAGCCTGATGTGGTGCACTCGTACATGTCTCTTATGCTCATACCTGTAGACAACCGATCTATTAACAATACTGTACACAGAAATTAATTTCCAAGTTTCCTATTGACTTGAGATGTGTTTTAGAAAGAAAATAACCATGAACAATTACACCTAAATTAGAAGGCAACTAACTAGCACATCCTGTGGGAATTTCCACGTGTTGCTAAAGCCCATGGGTGGAGGCTGAGAGGTGGGAGGTGCATCTGGAAAAACTGTTTCCCTCATCTCTTTTCTCCACAATCACTAATCCTACAGCACCACTCCCCACCAAGTACCATCATATGTGTCACTCTGGTCTTTGCCCTGTTTGTAATTTATTCTCCTTTATATAGTTTTACCCAACCTTCACCTCCAAGTAACTTTTACGCTTTAACATTATTTGAGATTTACATTGGCAGTAGAATTCAAGTTTAGCCTGATGAAGTCCTGAACCAACTAGCAAATCTTTGCTACCCTGAGCACTCCAGGGCACAGATGTGGATCTAGAACTAAATGTTGTGGTTTGAGCACTTTTTCTAACCTCTTTGTTTTCCCTGTGAAGACAATGTAGTGACTAGCAGAAGTCTCTTCTTTGATTTTAGATATTAGCTGGGAGAACATACGAAGAAATTTTTATTCTTGTTTATTCACTTTGTTTCTTGTAGCAAATATTCTAGCACTCTACCTTCTGCTTTCATTTTGTCAGTATCCATATAAAAAATAACTTTATAATGTCCTCCTAGAGATCCAGAGTGTAAGAAATGAGTCCCAAAATGTTCGATAAGTCTTCGGTAGATGTTGTACTCATAGATGACTGGAAGGTTGGCCAGTTCCTTCCAGAAAGGCTCCGCAAGAGTGAGAAAGTCTGGGTGGTTGTTAATAAACTGAGCAACTTCCACACTGTTCTCAACAACCATCAGCTGCTTACTCTGGGGGAAAGAAAAGATGTCAGTCACGATCTGTGTCACTATCAGGGTGGTTCCTACTAACCAGATGACATGCATGTTATATTGGCTACTAACCAACAGCTTTACAGAGCTCTTAGATATGACTAATCAACTCTGTGAATGCAAAAAGAATATCCTGAAGACAGGAAATATCTTTTGGACCTCTATTTGTAATTGCTATATCATCTTTTTTTCCTCCTGTGTACCTCAAAGCTAGCATAAGGACAAATAAGAAAGGAAAATAGCACTCTTCAAAGCTAAGGGTGGTTTCCAACACCAGAAGCCCAGCAGTAGCAGGATAACAAGCCTTGTCTGAAGCAAATCAGAGGCACTAGAGAGGTCTTCTTTGAACACTGTTTTGTCTAGAGGAGCCTTTCTTTGTCAGGGGGTCTGGCCATTTTGAGGATGCTGCTGAATTATAGAATCCTGTATGCCTATACAATAATGGTCACCTCAGTCTCTCAAAGTTTCTTTTGAACTTTGTTATGCTAAGTGTCAAAGTACATCACTGTTCGTGTAGTACAATGAGCTTGTCCTCTGTCAGCTTGGGTGCCATCAAATGTATAAATTTGTTAGTTGATTTTATTTGCTGTAAGGTAGAGGTTACCCTTCATAACTGAGAGTTACTCTCAAATTATTTATCTAATGCTCCTTTTTAAATAAGTCAAAGGCGTAAGCACTGTGACCTGGCTGTTCAAGACACCAGATATCTCTCTTAATGGAGTTCTATTAGTGGAAAATGTATTAGAAAATAAACTAGCTTTAATCACAGAATTATTCTGAATTTTTTTTGTTTCAAGATACTGACAGAATAGAAAAAAAAGTGTGCAGTAAATCATCAGAAGGAAATGGAAAAAATTCATCAATTATGAGAAGAAAATACTTTTCTTCCTCAGATAGGGAGGAAAACAGCTAGTAAATAAATAAATAACTAATAAAGAGGTAAAACAGAGAAAGTAAAAACAGCAGGCAACCCTTCTTAACTGATAGCCAAAACCGTGATCTCTTTGTAAAGGTTTTATGGGATTTTTTTCTGTTACGCACTTTGTGCCAAAATATCTGAATAAAATAAATATTTGCATCTAACTATAAAAGTACATGAAAAAAATGATGAAAATGTTTATGCAAAATACCAAGCCATGGTAATAATTTATACATACCTTTTGGCTGTGTTGCAGAATTTTATTCTGTGAATAACTGTGTCCACTGTTTGATTTTTCATATCTCTCTGTGTGTTTCATATAGGACCAGCTGCTGTTGAAAAACTCATAACTGAAATCATTCTGAATTTTAACCTAAAAGAAGAAAGATAGAATCCTGTATAAAGAGCTTCATGAAGGATATTGAAAATGATCTTATAGAGAAATCCTTCCTGATGCAAATAACCTGATGTGTTTTTCAGGCTGAATCGATTTCAGATTTCATAGAAAGTACTGAACACTATTGGAAAGATATTACATATATATTTTTAAATAATTGTATAGTAAGTATTCACATTATAAGGTAAAGTACATTAAGGGTTGCTTGGCATCTTTTGATAAACATGAGACAAGCCATATTTCTGAGATAGTGACTTCAATCAAAGCACATCTCTGGAACATCTCCACAAAACACCCCAAAGACTTGCACATGTAAGATTTCTCAGGGTGATTCAGGCTATTACTTATGCTAAGGAGATGGCTTTACATTCAGTCTAACTGTGAGAGAATTAGAAATCACATCCAAGAAATCACTTTTTTTTTCCTTCAATTTTAGCAAGATACACATCAGTTTGTATTTCAAAATAATAAGTGACTGCAGAGAGGGAACAAGTGTCGTTCAGCTGTCTTTTGAGAAACCTACCCGCCAAGAGACCCTACAGGCTTTGCACCATTCTTCCAGTTTTAATCATGACTCTAAATATAAAGCTGTGCCTAGTGGAAACACACCTGGAAAGTATAAGCAAGAACACTTTCGCTCAGCCTGTAGTATTCTCTCCCATCACCGCTAAAGACCTTTCTGCATTGTCCTCCAAAAGTTTTTGTATGAATGACTCTTCCCCTAGTCTCACCGGTAATGGCATCAAAGCTATGAGAAGAAAAACATGAAATATCATTAAGACAGAGAGGTAGCAAATTATTTTACAGGAGCTGAAAATTACAGGGCCGTTACAACTGAAAGCTGTATCTCCAGAATAAGGTCATGAACTGATTTACCCAAGAAAAGAGGATACCAACTAACAGACTTCTATACAGGCAGAACTGTAGGGGGCACAGCTTTTCACAATGCAGAAAGCAAAAATTTGCTCTTCTTTTGTCCACAAAAATGAGCACATATCAGTACCTCTCAACATTAAGACATTCATATCTATCACAACGGATTTTATTAAGTTTTATTGTTCCAGCATTTAATGCAAAACAGAAACAACAGGGCATCCATTCGAAATAGTTTTTGTATTACATGTGAATTATATTGCATACCAAGTGATACAACTACACTAAAGAAACTTCAGATGGGATGTATAAACAGAAATGCATATGGATCCATAGTACTAAACGCAACAGCAATGACCAAAAAGAATGAGCACTGCGGGCTCATTTTTTCCATACTGATGATTATGTGTTATTGGTTGACATTTCATTTCACATCTTAGAAGATGTTCAGGTCAAAGGGCCTGTACATCCTGGCTGCACTGAGCCATTGGCATGAGGGAGGCAGCTGTACTGAACACTTTTGCATATAGGACATTTTGCCATAGGTCCAGGCTGTTTGTCTGTAAAGAGCTTTTAAATACAACCAAAATGTAAAAGCATTTGGCACCAGTACTACTGAGTCTGGCACAGAACATTACCCCGTTCCTGTAAGTTCTGAATTCGGAGGTGTTCTATCAATATCACATACAGTCGTCTTCTCTTCACATCGATCTTCATCTGCACCATCTTCCTCACAATCCTGATCTCCATTGCACACAAGAGATCTGCTAATGCACTGACCTAAATCAGAACACAGATACATGAGGAAAGAACTGTGTGTTTGTTTGAAAATAAATCACCTAAAATCAAAGAAAAGTCCCACTTCTGTACTACATTAATTAGCTTTTTCACTCCCATGACAAACAGTCTGTGCCCAGGAGGGCTTGTGAACCAACAGTAAATGTAGACATAAGGAAATAATGTGCAGCACACTGGAGGGAAGCACAGCCATTCAAGGTTTATAATACATTAATAAAACATTTGACTTCTAGATTTATTTCCTGAGCTTTCATCCTTTGACCCTATAACTTGTGATTAACTGTGATTGTCTCACTGCTAGCATCAAAACACATTTATCAGATTCCTCTGTGACAAACATCTGTCTACTGAGGTAACGCACTGTTTTTGTGAAGGTAACGGAAGCTGCTCGGACACTAGCACTGTTTCGGGGAGCATTAGTTTCCATGACCCGAGTGATTTCCAAGATGTTTGGATATAGCTGAGAACAGCTTCGAACAATCACATCTAAGGTTGTATTCCTTAATTACCTTCTCATAATGAAAATACCTGTACTGTGGGGCAAATCAGTAAAGCAGAATGACTTAGAGAGGATCCCAGGGCTATAGCATATTATCTTCAAAGCTTTGCAACACATCAGATGAAATTAAAAACATGGGTAGTGGGCTGAAAAAAAGGAAATATGCTGCTATATCAAATTTATCTGTAGGATGGGGGTTCTGCAAAGCCATTACACTTATTAAATCTCAGAGATAATTAGGTTTTCTTAAATTTATGACCAGAAAATGGTGAAAAAGATCTTGGATGGTACCTGAAAAACACCTGAAGCGGTCACCGCACCCATCCTCTGTCGGGCATCCCCGTGTTGGGGTGCATGGTCTTGTTTCAAAGGCATTCCCAGAGCAGGGATTTCCCCCATACTGGCCATACACTGCTACTGTTCGTCTCCGAATCTGAATGCAAATCAAGGGACATATTAAAGAATCCAGGAATAGTTTCTTAGTGTCAAGACAACGCTACCACTTTACTGCTGTAAGAAAATGAGATTGTCACTATCTTTTCTGAGAACAACCACACTTGATATTACCACAATATGGTAACAAACGCCCAGGCTAATAGAAAGACAACTATTTTGTCTACAAGGTCTCTAGATTGACGCATAACTTGGCTGGTTTGTTCAAAAATCTAGTATGTAACTGAAAGCATGATAAAGCTGCTGACACATTTCTGTTTTGTTTCACTTTTCTAGGAGGACCTGAATCCTCCATATCATGCCTGATATGAACTTGCTAAAGTTTTTAAAAGTAAACAATGTCATTAAGGAAGACAATAAAATCTAACATCCAGCAGGCTACTTTTTGCTTCTAAAAAGAGTAAGTACAGTCTCATGGTGCATATTTAATTTTGACTAAACACTCCCTAACTGATGCAACATCAAAGTAAATAAAAAGAAAAATCAAAAGCAAATGTCTTTCACACAAACAGAGTTGCACTGTAAAAATCATCAGTTTATTTTGATTGACGATAACACTTTGCAATCAAGTTTTCTTTCCTTGAGATGTGACTCCACTAATGAAAAATCAACGGAACTGGTACAAACCGCATCAGGGGAGGAATGTCTCAGTTTACCTAACTGTTCAGTTGAGTTTTTTTGAACTATGACCAAAATTAAAAGTGCACAAATTATTTTACATCATGAATATCATAGTTTTGAAAGCGAACATAGAGGGACAGGCTGGAGGATTTCCATTCAGAGTTCTGTGTTGTTCATCCTTCTCTTTCTGCTGGGGTTTTTGTCTGACAGCTGATTTGGGGTTTTAAAGATGTAGCAGCTCCTTAATTACTGGGAAAATAGAATATGCTTGTGAAGTCACAAGTACAGCAAAAGTGTGTCTGTCTATACCTGTTTCTGAGTACAGCCATCGCACTCGGACCAAGGACCAAAAGAATTCCAGCGGCAATGGACTGGAGAAGAACGGCTGCTCCAGTAGCATTTTTTGCATTAAAAAAAAAAGAGGAGAATTATCACGGGTTTACACCCATAAGCATTAGTGCAAAACCTTCCTAAACGGTAAAGCAGCCCTTCAATAAAAATTAGGGGCATGATCAGGCTCCCTCTAAAACCTTTGGGATTTGCTTGGCATGTGTGAGAATGAAAACAGTTCTTGCTTGGGCGTTCTGTCCACTGAACACCAGAAGACACCAGGCAACACATTTACCTAGCCTGAAGATCAGCAAGGACTTTGTGCAACCGTAGCTTTGAAGGCTAGCTTCAAAGTGGGGAGAGGTCAGATTGTGTCTGGAGATCACCCGGGAGCTGCCAGGGGCTGTGCGTGCCATGGTGTGCAGCAGACCTTCCCATGGCAGCTCTCCGACAGACAGCTTGCCAACGGCAGGCAGGGAGGGTGAAGCCTGACCCAGGACCAGGGATGGCTTGGGGTATGCCACGCTGTGTTTCGCAGACGTGATTGCTGTGGCTCACACCACTGCTGTGTGCTCTCTTCCCAAAGGGCAGCTGACTCCTCTGGGCAGAGGAAAGGGACACCGTAATTCCCCACTCCTTGTCACCACTGACGGCAGTGGCAGCGCTGACGCCAAAGAGTGTCTCCTCTCACACGAAACATATCTGAAGACTCCTCTAAGCCCTGCCCTATGCCACGTAGCAGAAGTTGTCTGTTAAATTATACATGCTTAGTATTCAGCATGTAATTTACTAAAGAAATATTCACCTGGAAATAATGGGAAAGAACCCTGAAACTTCCAGCAACAGAAAAATCCACAGCACCTGAGAAAAGAGGAGCAAAACCAAACTTATTTTGCTTTTCTGCTTTTCCCATTAGCTTGTGCAGCTGTTCTAATTTTCTGCAATATTTACACTAGTCTGCTTGAGAAATAAAAGAGAGCATCACACTGATTTCTCTCAGCTTTGTTGCGCAAGCTGTTTTTTTAGTTTTCTTCTTTCTTGCAATACTGCCTAATTACATTTTCAGCTAAGTATTTCTCCATATGAATTAATATTTCATTGCACTTGCCATATTCACTTCATCAGTACAAATTAAGTAAGCAATTGTCTTACCTTCATGCTAGATGAAATACTCAGATATCCAGCAATTACCAGGGAAAATGCACTTCCACTCAATTCAGCAGCAAAAGGAGTCAGTCAGTCTGTCTGCTACTGTACTGTCTCTTCTCTCTCTGCCTTGCTATTCTGCTTTTCTTTCCCTAAAAAGGCTGAACAGTGCCGAGGAATGTTAATCTTAACCCATCGAGTCCTCTCCAGGGACACAGACAGCTTTGGGAGCTGCTCAGTGTTTTTAAGACATATAAATCAAAGCTTGATGTACTGTCTGGGGCTGGCACAAAGTTGTGAAGAGCGCTTACTGGAAGAACAATTGTCTCTTCCTTATCTTCTCTCTCAGTTTCTTTCCCCTGAACAAGACTCTTCAGAGATCCCAGGCCAGTCCTGGTGTCACACACACCATACCAGAGCTGAGCCCTCAACTTCCATAGGAAGTATTGATCTAGAATCAAGCTGATGTTGCCAAGGTTTAATTCTGATCATAAATCTTCAGCCTCCACTTCTGCAGTTGTGCTGATTTTTGTGTATCTGCTCTCACACTGAAAATCAGCTTGTGGATCTGAATGCAAGTTCTAGACAATTCTGGCATGGTCCTGCCTGTGAAAGACTTAGTAAGATTGTACACAGCCCCTAGTTTCAATGACAGATCAACTGCTGTCTTTTTGTGGGGATGCTCTTACAGAAGTAAGAGTACTTCACTTTCTCCTTCCTCTTCCTGCCATGCACTCTTAGTTTTTCTTTTCACTTTTTCACTTTCCAGAGCTGATCCACTCCAGTAACAGCAAGAAAATGCCACTGCTGGGGAAATATCCATGAATTTATCACAGTAAGGCCTGGATGAAACCCTCATGGAAAAGCAGCTCCCCTGTCTGAGAAGCCTTCCTATACTAGATCTCAGACACTACACCTAATTTGAACAGTTTAACACCGTCCTCAGAAAAGCAAATCCTTCATGTCACAGCTTCACTATCTGGCGACTTATAAACCCTGCACTCTGTTGGCGTGGTTTGCTTTTCTTAAGAAGATGCCTCGACCTTGGATCATGTTATTCCATCCATGTAAGGGATGCCTATGTCCACTCCTCAGAAGTCAGCAACGCCAGAGCCAATTTAGTTCAGCCACAGCTTGGCTTTGGGACTTCTCAGGTTTAGTAACTATGAACCTCTTTGATAATGTAATTCATACTCCTTCCCTTCTGGTCATATTTTATTGCTTTTGATTGAAATCCTCATGCTCCTATTAAGTTTTATGACTGATTCATGCAACATTGTCCATGGTCATTCAGCTATGAAAGAAATTATTAAAACTGAGTTAAGCCCTTTAATAGCTCACCCATACGAATACAGGAACTCCAAAGAATATTTTACCTCTCCAGACATGCGTCTCAAATCTTGCAGTTAGCTGTTTTAATGGCTTAGATAGCAACTTCACTTTCTGTAAGTACATCATGAGCTATAATAACCCCCAAGATAAAGATATACTGTAATTTTCTCACAAACAAAACCTGCAAATCAATGTAAAAGAGGACGAATACAGCTAGCAAAGAAATTATGCGTGGTGGTGAGGGTCTGCTCTTAACTAATGGGTAGTAAGATCATTGATAGTAGCAGGTATCACATTCAAGTTACTTTATATAGGTGGAATGTCTCCTTGCAAGAAGCATTTCAGCAAGACAGAAATGTTGCTTTGACAGATGCCATATAATACTCCTTTTAGTGCACATTTTCAGGCCTCTCAGCCTAAAGACTTTATCTTCTTTCATTTGGAAATGGGATCCTACTTTTTTATTGATCTTGGCTTCAGCAGTAACAAAAGCAAAGAGACTGAACCAATGGGGCGCAAAACAGAGGGAGGTCAGAGCCGGATTTGTCCTGCTCCTAGGACTGCAAGTCCCTGTGGCACTTTACTGGTTTGCAGCAGCTGGATGTTCAGTCTCCTCTACAACAGTGGGACTGTGAATGGTTGACGCTTCTTTTGTTTCACAGGGTACTCACAGTAACTTTTTTCTACTTAACATTTAGGCTCTGGACCATTTAGATAGCTTTCTACTTTATTGTGTTATTGATACTTAAGGCTACGTGCAGTTGTATGATAATCTACCTACACTGAAATTTTGTGATGAGGGACTATGCAACACCTAGCACGGTCCCAGCCTGACTGACAGACACTTCTACAATAGCATAAATTATAATAAGAGGCCTGACTGAGGGAGCTCCCCAATTACTTCCCCTGACTGCATGGCAGGGAGCGACAGAGTGTAACTTATAGAGAAAATGGGGCTGATTTTCCCTTGCTGTTAGTGAAAACGGCAACAATCTACTAACCATTTTGCCGTTAAAAATATGTTTTAGCATAGCAACTTTAAGTTCTTCCTAAACATTTCTACTGTCTATTCAGAAATAAACTGTCTTTAGGCTTAAAAACTATGTTTTAGGGGAGTAAAAAAGGAATAGTTTGAGAGACACAAAGGGTTAGCCATAAGGCAAGGCATTTCTTCTATTGCACCAAATGATAATTCTAGCATAAGAATGATTAATGCAATGCTTCATTTGCTGGGCTAATGATATCCTGCCTGGTCTGGAGACAGTATGAAACGGCATTATCTGTATTCTACTTCACACTAAGGTCAGCCAGAATATAATTGTATCAATGATATTTCCCTGTAGACTGCCACTCTTTTATAGGATTGATGTGAAGGTTACTCAATAGTTTACAAAGCTTTAAATAGACTTTTGTCTTCATTGTCCAAGTTCATTATGTACTACCATCCTAAAGACAGTCTGTGCTCTGTGACTGCTGCAAATGCCAAGGATCCAGTGACAACTGAGTGGAGACAGAACATCTTGTCATTAAGGTTTTAAATTGTGAAATTGACTTGGAAAAGTTTCTGGATTTGTTTCTGCTTTGCTAATGCCATCTCACGGGTTTTTTAAGTGTTTTAATTGCCTGTTTTGCTTTTAATGTATTTGTCGCATTCCAAGGATTAATGACAATGCTTTGAGATGTGTCTCTATGAATATGTCTAATAGCATTAATGCTGTGGTAACTGTAATGCAAATGATTCTCTCTCAGGGGACCTCGTAGGATATTGCCTTAGATACTGGAATCCATATGCTGCTGAAACTATGCCAAACGAGCAAGGGCTCTGAGAGTTCAGGTTTGAATTAACTGTTTTGGAGGAGCTCATGTTATCATAATTCAAAATTCAGAGAGCTTTAATAGTATACATGTAATAAATCAGACTTGTCTACAACATAGACATTTCAGCCTATGTATACACAACAGTCATCACTGGCCAAACAAATAATTGCTGTTCTTCAGAGTCAGGTTCTGATCTTAGGGCACAAGACATGAGGAACAAATTTAGCAGCTTGAAACTGCCCAAAATGGTGAGCTACTATTCTGTTATTTTCCACATCTTTCTCTGCTTTCACTTCTAATCTCCACCATGTGTTGCTTCTGTACATCTGTTGCTGGCTTTGGCACACTTCAGTTGTCTCTGTGAGACAGTTTAATATATTACAATGACATAAAATAAATCCAGAAAAAAAGTCTGGCTGGTTTTCTGCTGGTTTATTGAGTTAGATCGCCTCCCAAGAAGGTCTGGTGGGCAGCAAACCCAGGGAGAGGGTAAAAATTGCAGCCGGGGAGGAGAGAGATGGGATAAAAGAGGTGAGAAGTGTGACAGAAGGGAGGGCAGCGGGAGAGCCTTCTGCTTTCAGATCCAGCCTGCCACTGCATATGCTCAAGTGCCAGCGAACCACTACCTTACAAAAACTCTTTTAGTTGCTGCTCATCCTAGACTAGCAGTTCTAGACTAAACAACTGCTCACTACTTCACAGGACTCTCCTGGACAGGATGGTGGCATCCAAGTTCACCATTCCATCTAGCGATTGGTTGCTCAGAAGGGGCTGATTTAGGTGTTCATCGAATTTGAGTATTTAATTTTCATTTCTACAATTATTGATCCTTGCCTCCCTGAGACATGACACTTTCAGGCTGAAAAAACTGCTGACGTTCAGATCATCTGTCTTTGGAGATGACTGCAATCAAAGCATAGGTAGTAAGTATGAGTGAGATTTTCAATGGCCTCCATCCTTTACTGGATGCTAGGGAAAACATAGTGACAAAGGATGAATAAAAGGCTGAAATACTTAATGCCTTCTTTGCCTCGGTTTTTCAGAGTAGCACCAGTCATTCTTGGGGTACTCAGCACCCTGAGCTGGAAGACAGGGACAGTGAGCGGAATGAAGCCCCCATAATGCAAGGGGAAAAGGTCAGTAACATGCTATGCCACTTGGACACACACAAGTCTATGAGGCCGGATGGGATCCACCCAAGGGTACTGATGGAGCGGGTGGAAGTGCTCACCAAGCCACTCTCCATTATTTCTCAGCAGTCCTGGCTAACTGGGGAGGTCCCAGTTGACTGGAGGTCAGCAAATGTGATGCCCATCTACAAGAAGGGCTGGAAGGAGGAACTGGGGAGCTACACACCTGTCAGTCTAACCTCAAAGGAAAGTTATGGAGCAGATCATGCTGAGTGTCATCATGCAACACATACAGGACAACCAGGTGATCAGGCCCAGTCAGCATGGCTTTATTGCCGAGTTTCAGCATCCATGCAGGGACAGGAATGACTCTCACACATTGATACAATGCACAGCCGATCCCCATTTATTGGTCTGCTTGCATGGTTATATACATTTTTCATATCTGTACACGCGATCACGCTTATTCGGATAGGCTACAGACATAAATTACGCGCTGTTCACGCACCCCATGTTCCCTTATGATTGGTAATTATACACTAACACCAATAGCAACAGACCGCCTGCACGTCCTTGAACACATCTTGTTTTTGCTAACCCACATCATGTGCACTATCAGAACTTTCTCAATTGTTATTCTTAGCTGTCCTTTCCAGCAGCCTATGCTAACTGTTTCGCTTAAGCGGGCTAGTCATGCTAACTCTCAAACTACATCGACCCCAACAGTTTATGAAAGGCAGGTCCTCTTGACTAACCTTATCTCCTACTGTGACAAGACGAGCCAGCAGTGTGCCCAGGCGGCCAAGAAGACCAACAGCATCCAGGCTTGTATCAGGAATGGTGTGGCCAGCAGGAGTAGGACTGG